GAGCTCTGCGTGCGGCTCTGCTCTGCTCTCGGTTTTTACTTCTCTCGCTTCTTTCTCGGTGGAGAAATGGAGAATGATGATGAGAATATTGGAATGAAAGTGGCCCGTCCGCTTTTAAGATATATATATATATATATATATATATATATATATATAATTAATACGTATACTTATCCGATCGATCGATAATACGATTTTCGTCGAAATAGTGCCGAAATGCTCGATTTTAAATCGCGAACTTTCTAGCGATCGAAATATGGATTTTGCCGGAATGGGATGTTACACTTACTGCAGTCTCTCTCTTCTCTATGGAGTAACTTCCCTTCACTTAGGTTTTGAGGAACCCTAACTATGTTTGTTTGATTGGATGATTGTATGAGTACTCTTACTTGATAATCTTGAGTTCATATTCAATCTATACATGTTTTCATGATTCAATTCTGCTTTAGTCGAGATTATTGATTCTGTTTTGATCCTATGAGAGCGAATACTTGATTAGGTCAATAGAGCACCATAGATTGATAGTATTGGATCGATTGCTTTAGTCGAGGGTCGATTCACTGCTTTGTATCGATTGAGAACCTCATTCGATATAGGGAATCTAGTTCAGAATGCCTTGATCGGTTGTTCTAGAGAAGGATACGTCCCTCTAGGCAATTGACTCAAGAGGGCCTTGATCTTTTAGCCGAGATTCAAGGTCTAGTTAAGGATTCTCCGCATTGTGAATGAAAGTGAAACATGTTAGAGATCATCAATCATTAATCTGGCTAGTGGCTAGGGGGAATCATACCTAATTGAGTTCCCAACCTGTAATTAGATTAACTTTTACTGTAGTTTGTTAGAGTAGTTTTAGTTCTTCCATCTTAATCTGGTTTGGTAGATAATGAACTGAAGCTGAGTAATAGTAACTCTAGAGACCCGCAGATTCGATATTTATTACTTGAGCCACTATACTGCAGTCCTTTTCATTGGTTACACTTGGCCATTGTTAGGAGTTGTGTCATAGCGAGTTACCAGTTCCTGAAAAAATGGTCGAATTATTCGAAGAAAAGGGTTATGTTGTTGTTATGCTATCGTAGGTTGGAGAGGATGTTTATATATACAATCAACGATATTATGTTGATCAAGGATCGATTGATCCGACTGAGTTATACGACCAAGAAAATCATCGTTCAAGGGACGTTTGGAACGACCACAAGGTACATATTATTTATCATCACTTGTAATTTTTATTTTGTTAACGTAATTTACTAGTTTGTAAAATAAATTTGTTAATTGTTAATCGTATTGATTATTTTAAATAATTTAAATCAATACAATATAACACTTATTTAGACTCTTTATAAGGAAATGCATGTCTAAGGAAATGGGGTCTTAAGCGATCATCATGATCCTACCATTTTGTGGGAAAATTGGGTTCTAAGCGATTCTCGGATCCCCCCTTTTTCTATCAAACATATTGTTTTTCTAAGGAGATGTATACCTCTCCTAAGAGTCTTACGAGTGTAGTTGGATTGCTTTAAATTATTGAAAACAATCAATACAAAGTACAAAAAAAAAATATTTGATTTTATGTGTATGTGTACAAAAATAATTTTAATTAAATTTCGAAAATGGTATTCATTTTAGTTAATTATTTTAGTTAGCTCAATATTAATGTTTTTTAAATTATGTATATTTCTTGGAAAAAAAACCTTGATTTCATTAATTGATATTGTTTGTTATAATAGATTTATATATGTATAAATCATAAAGTTATAGTTAAAGTTAAATTCTTCCCTAGGATGCATACCATATAGTTCGCTATAGGGGTACGGCGAATGTGCTTGAATGGAACGACGTCATCTTGCCCTTTCTAAGAAGGGCAAGATTGGATCCCATTAGGAACTTTAATGGAATAAAGATCGACCGCCAACTCATCACGGCATTGGTAGAGAGATGGCGAAAGGAGACACATTGCTTCAATTTTCATGAAGGCGAGTGCACCATCATATTTAAGGATATCGCCATCCTAACAGATTTTCCCATCGATGGTGATGTTATTTGTGTGGACTCTACTCCACCAGTTAAAGTTGTTGCGAATATGAGTGGTTGGTAGCATTTCATGTGGAGCGTCATAGGGTTGGTACCGCCAGAAAAGGGAGATCACGATGCGGATGGTAATTCACCATTGTCCAAGGGCCAAGTATCCATCACTTGGTTGACAGCGGAAATCAGGCGTAAGTACAAAACTCCGAGTCATTGCTTCAGTGGCAATAGCGTGTCACACCTCATTCTTTGTTGCAAATTGTTGGCCCTTCATAAAGCCAGTGAGTGGACCCCATACTTACACCTCTGGTGGCTCCATGTCGGCATCAAAATACCAATCTTCATTTGGAATGTGATTGTAGTACGGGATAGGTACACGGTCGCGAGGCACCTCATCATCGTCTGCTTCTGTATCTGGATAGGAATCATCAACACATTCAAGAGGATCGAAGTTGTCTACACTGACATCGTCTTCCTCTTCTTCAACCTGAGCATCACTAACTGGACTTGGATTGACATCTTTCATCTGATCAAGATCATGAAAGGTACCTTCATCAGCTCCGTAATGGTAGTTGTGGTAACTATTGTCGTCTTGGTAGAAGTTGTAATCGGGTTGGTACTGGTAGCCTTCTTGTTGGTTCCCATCCGCCTGTTGAGCTTCTTCTTCATATGCTGGAAATGATTGATGATGACCTCCAGTTCCATCACGATACTCCAGGCACCAGCTCGGATCTTGGTACTCTTGGTGGGGATGATCTTCGTATAATCCACCCCCACCGTGGATACCAGATGTTTGTCCATCTCCAGAATGACCTACACCGCCTTCGACCGCATTGGTGTAAACAAACATCTCCGCTTGTTTAATGTTATTGGTGGTCAAAAATTAGACCATGGCATCAACGTCCTCCTGAGTGGTAATGAGGAATTCCCCATTCCGCAACGACCCGCCATGTCTGTTTGGATATCGATACACCATACGATCAACTCTTATAGTGCCATCCATGCAGGTAACCTCAATACACATTTGATGGAGCACTTCAAGCATCGGTCTCGCAGCAACCTTCATTTTATAAAAATTGCCACCGACGTAACGTACCCCTTTCTGGTCTCTTCCGTGTAAACATTCCACCATAACCCAAGCGTGAACTTTTGGAATGTCATCTGCAATAAAACCATAATTAAGTTACTACCATAAAAATCACAAATGACAATAAAAAGTAATACAAAACAAACTTACGAATTAACGTTAATCGTAAAAACTAAATAAATTAAAGGTGCACAACTGAAATTTCAAGAAGAAGAAGATTAAGAAGAAGGACAGGAGTGAAGATTTTTAGTTTTTCGGAGCTGCCATTTATAGGCAAATTTTACACTGAAGCCCCCACCCCTACAACCTCCTGCATGCCGACATGTCGGGAGAATGGGGATGAGGCACAAACCACTGGGGGGGGGGGGGGGTTGTGCATCGACCTAATAAACCGCTTCCTTGAGGGGCGGTTTATATTGTCGACGCAGAACCGCACCTAGATCATGCGGTTTTTCCTAGGCCAATCATGGGAACTGCTCCTTCGAAGAGCGGTTTTCCCAAAAACCTTAAACCGCTCCACTGGCATGCGGATTGATGGTAAACCGCCTCCTTGCAATGCGGTTTTCACTGTAATCCCCCCTGCGTGCTGCGGTATTTAATTAAGGGCGGTAGATTTGGAATTTTTTAGGTTTGGGTGGTAGTTTTGTAAAAAAAAATTAAACTGTGGTAGTTTTGAATTTTTTCCCGGAGATTGTCTTGTTTGTTGGGCACGAAACGACATTTCTAGGTGTATAACATAATTGGGTGCAAGTGACTTCTTTGTCTTTCAACTTGGCACGAGCTAGAGTGCTTACTCCTCTGCGATAGTACCATCTAACCACTCGAATCATTATTTATTGCATTTAACTTAGGTTTGCTAGTGGAAACTGGAAAGTAACGAGCAGCTTATTTGCTATTTCAAAAAATTAAATTTTGAAAATATCTCTCGCCTCTTTATAATAGAGATTTTCAACGTGAAAATTTACTACTAATTAAATTAGTAGTGTTCATTGTGGGTTATAGTTTCACGCCTAATTAGATACTAAAATACGTCAATGGAGTAAGGCGACATATAAGTCTCTCCTAAAGATAACTAGATGGATCTAGGAAGTCAATATTAAAGGAGAAAACTAACATCAACTACGAAATCAATTTTCTATATCAATATTTTTAATAGATCAAGAAATTTGTAAGCTATTGAGCTATGATTCTTTGAATTCTTGAGCTATGTTATCATTAAGTGTTGAGTAAGTTATTAATCATTTTAACTGAAGTGAGGAAATGTTGTAGATTATTATTTCATTCATCATGCATTGTGAATAGTTTTTTTTTCTTCGAACGCCTAGGCACACTTAGTCTACACCTAGGCGAGCTAGGCGCTAGGCAAATGCTCAATGCCCGCCTTACGCCTAGCGCCTTTTTGAACCTCATCAAAACAATGGATGTATTGTTACAGTAAATAGAAAAAAACGAAGCATTGTTAACAATGCACACATTGTTAACAATCTCATCTAAATTATCACCAAAATAAAACTAAACCTTAATGCAAAGGAAAGTTGAAGATCTTATCCTCAAGCTTGAAATATCTAAAAAAACAAAAGGAATATCCATAAAGTGGCAGAGGGAATTAATACATGGTGGCCCCTTGCAAATCTAACAAGAATGGTGGTTCCTTTTTCCTTGTTTCCCTTGGCATCAATTTTTGGCCTTTTCACTGTACAGAGCTCCAAGACAACACCACTCTGCCCGCAACCCGCGAAAAGAAAATTTGCAGACCTTTGGAAGCATTCGCAGTTGACACCAACACAAACACCAAAACTTGTCCATACAAACGGCAGTCGGCAGCCAATCTTGAAAAGTGAAAACCCGTGGCTCAAAAAAATATGATTCAAAGAAAAGATAGATAACAAGATTTATAAGTTTATTATAATGAAATGCTAAACGCTGGCCACTCTAATACATTACCACTGCATATAGCTGGTACGAAAAAAGAGAACATTGGATGATGATGCAGTAAGCAGCAAGTCATCCCATCCCTCAACATGATTGAAAATTAAAATGGACATAAACTATAATCAATCTAATTTTCCAGTTATTCCAAAACAACCTCTCCTCCTACCATTCCACAAGTCTCTCACCTTTCTACCACAAGATCTATAAGCCAAATCCTTCCAAAAGAGCAGCTTCAACTGAAGCTTTTAGAACTGGCTTCATTCCTTGTCATCGGCAGCACGAAGAGAACCCAACTGAACCGGAGCTTGAGTTCCAACCACTTTGGATGATCCATAGACAGCCAAGTCGATACCCTGAGCCTTCTCCTTCTCAATCTGCTCCTGGATCCATAAGTATGTGAATCTTAGGCCATCCTACAAAGCACAACAGTCGAGTGTCAAAGAGTTAGACTTGGAAAAGGAACTCCAAATCAGGATAGTCTTAGTTGTAGTCATGTACCTTCAGCCTCATTGTTGGAGCCCAACCAAGCTTTTCCTTGATCAATGTGTTGTCAGAATTACGACCACGGACACCTTCTGGACCCGGGATATGATGGATGGGGAGCTTCCTGTCCCCAAAGCCAAGAACAATCTCGGCCATCTCGTTCATGCTCACCATCTCATCACTTCCAATGTTCACTGGCTCCCGGAAGTCGGACTTTGTCAACCTAAGGCGTCCAAAAGAGTTTATGTCAGCATGTCATGTACCACCAAGTCTATCACCATTTGTCAGACTTCATATAGCATGATAATTTCCAGATCCCTCATTGTTTTCTTCAGAGGTATTTAGGACAAATTCTCCCAGAAAAATGGGTGGGATAACATGCATGACCAACTTTTCTAGAGTGCATTTTTCAAATCTTCCATCACCATATATATGAGAATGCTGAATGCATCATTCTAATGCATTTGGCATGTGCAATTCCAAGCTGTCTTCAAATACATCAAAAGTGTCAACCAAAAAGAAAACCAGACATTTGTTCATTGGCATGTTATTGCAAATTTCATCTTCTCAAATACAGCCACCCAAAAGTTATGACAACCCTAAAAGAGATCTTAGGCATTTACCTGAGTACACCTTCCACACATTCATCAATGAAGGTGAAGGATCGAGTTTGGAGTCCATCTCCCCACATCTCAAACTTATCAGTAGCAGTAAGCGCCTTTCTGCAGAAGGCAGCCGGTGCCTTTTCCCTGCCACCTATTATTAAAGACGATCAATCCACATAACAGTGAAAAGCTAGAAGCAGATAATTAAGTTACAACCACTGTTGTTTCCATGCCTCACCTTTCCATGTTCCAAAGGGACCATAAATGTTGTGGAACCTTCCAACACGGCATTCAATGCCAAAGTCCTTGGTGTAGTGCTTGCACAGCTCCTCTGTTGCAAGCTTCTCCAAGCCATAAGCATCTTGCGGCTAAAGAACAAAATTTGTAACAAATTTTAAAGATTTTAGTAGGCAAAAATAGGTCAAGTGATTTCTTCCATACATTATACTAAACCACTAAAAGTAAACCGACCTCTGCAGGCCAGGCATCAGATTCCTTCAAGCTCACATTTGTCTCCAGCTGTTTAAACTCAGGATAAATACACGCACTAGAGGCATAAAAGAACCTACACAAACCAAATCATCATCCAAAATAAATTATGAATTTCAAACCCCACCCAAGGAATTTCAACCTATTATAAGGCAACAAAAGAAACCACGGGAAAGGCAGTAACTAACCTCTTAACACCATTGATCCTAGAGGCTTCAAGCATGTTGAAGCTGATCATGGTATTGTTGTACATGATAACAGAATGGTTGGACTGAATGAATCCCATTCCGCCCATATCAGCAGCCAAGTTGAAGACATGGTCAACACCCTCGGTAACCTTCAAGCAGTTATCCATAACCCTAAGATCCACAAGATGGAATTCATGACAGAACATGTCTTCTGTCATGTGCTCATTCTTCTTCCAGTCGGAGGCAATAATGTAGTGGCCTTCACTCTTCAAACGCCTCGCTATGTGAGAGGCAATGAAACCACCAGCTCCAGTAATGGAGATTTTCAGCTTCTCAGATGGCCAATAGGGCTCCCTCTCAAGAGCCTCATACGTGTAAGCCCCGTAGCTGGCTCCATCGTGGCTCCCCATAGTGACTGAAACAAAAGAATGATTCAGAACAGCAGCGATACTAGATAAGAAGCCAATTGATTCTATATATCCAACAATCATTACAGTAAAGCACCCAAAACCAAACAGTCATAAACAGAGCAATCAATCCTCACAGAAAAAGGAACCCTTCCATTCAATTCTCCCCCACACAAAATAAAATTTTACAAAAACGTAAACAAAATCCTAGGCCTCCATTGAAAAATCAATTCACACAATTCCACAAAAACAGGACCAGAATCAGCAAAATTATACAGAGAAAAGCAGCAGAAATCTGAAAACAGAGCTGAAAACTGCAGCTGAATGCGTGGCGGAATTGAAAAATAGACAAAGGATGCAATCCTCGCATTCGCAAAAGAAAAAGAAAAACGAGAACCCGTTGCTGGTATTAAAAAAACCCATGAAAAAGAGAGCCGAGAAGCTCAACCAATTGACAGAAAGACAGAATTCTGGCACAAAATTGACCTTGAATCTTTATACCTGCGAGAGAGACTGGAAGGTGGGCTGGCGGGAAGAAGAAGAGTTCTGTGATGTCTGAGATTTGGGTTGTGTGGGACTTGTGAGTTATGGCTTTCTTTATATATAGATAGGGAGAGAAGAAGAAGAAGAAGAAGCGCGGACGCGAACAAGACCACTCATTCGCTTATTACTTTCTTTCCTTTCTCCCTATGTCAAGTAATCTGTGCCATTATTATAATTATATTTCTTGCATTAATCACTGATTAGTCAATAGCGGAAGGAATTTGCATAGGCTAGGCTGGCGATGAGGGAACGACTGAAAGAAAGAGCAAAAAACATGGTGTGAAGACAGGGGAATCGACCACGCCAGTGATCTTATGGTGAGTAATCATGAGTAACTCGTCCACATCAGCATGACATTAGCATCTTTCTCTTTTCTGGAAAGCCTTTAATTTTTCCTTCCTTAATATTTTACGGACGATTTCTCACTCGTTTTAAGTTGAAATTTAATTTTTTTGCACAGTTAGATCAGATTAATTGCGCTCTTCAAAATGATATCCACTTTGATATATTTTCGAACAAAAAAAATTATCCATTTTTTACCAGTCTATACCATATGGTATTGACTGGTATTGAAATAGGAAGTTGCTAAAGGTCGCCCTTAAAATTGCTAAATGTCGCCCTAAATGACATCAAAGTTACAAATTTAACCTTTTAGCTTCTTTACTCCCCCTTTAGCAAACAAACACCACTTAGTAAAGAAAATAAAATATTATTCAAAAGAGAGAATCCATCATCGCCATTATGGAGTTGGAATCGTCGATAGGATGTCTGGATCATGACTAGCGACAATGAATCGGTAAAGTTCACTCCAAAAATTGAAAAAAAAAACCCAAAAAAAGGGAACCGTAGCTCATTTGCGGTTCCACCATGGACCAACCGCAATTGAGTTGCGGTTGCACCATGGGCCAACCGTAACTTGCCTTAGGTTGAGCGTTTTTTTGGAAATTTCGATAGAGAACGAGCGACGACGACGACAGGAAAGCGTCGGCGGACTGGTGCGTCGAGAGGGATTTGCGAAGAAGGCAGATGAGGGGTTCAATTTGAGGAGTTAGGGATTTTTTGGTTTGTTTAAATTTTAAAATTTTATTGGGGGTATATAAGTAATTTATTATTGGAGTTAGGGCGACCGTTAGCAATTTTAAGGGTGACATGTGGTGATTCAGTTGAAATAAGAGCATACCTATGGTTTGAAAAGCGTACCATGGTGGTATGAACAAACCAAGACCGTAGGATGGTTGAATACATGATAGTAGAAGTACATTAACTGTCATTTACGACTTTTAACATTGTGTACCACAATATACCACCCCATACCAGGGTGGTATTGTATGGTATTGTGTGGTATTTTTTGGTCCTGTAATTTGTTCACCCAGAAATTTGTAGATCCAATAGATCATGATGAACTCGTCCCTTCTGTGCAAACGTTTTCAAAAACGAATTAAAAACGAAGAAGATACCATATGGTATGCAGTTGGTACTTGGTACCGAGAGGCCAGGATTTTTTTCTAAAAAAATATTGAAATTTGATATCATTTTGTAGAGCACGATGAACTAGTTCCATCTGTGCAAAAAAAAAATTAAGATCCGAGTTAAAACGAAAAAGATATGAGTTGACTAAGAAAGCTAGGGAAAATAAAAATGGTCTTTAATTCTCCATCCTTAGATCTGGATTTTCTACCCATGGTTATGCACTCTATCTTGAGTCAAGAAGCCGGTGGACTGCAGCTAGGAATGGCAACTATTGCGAGGTGGGTAACTTATACCATGTCCGATTTGTGGCAGATCGGGTAATTTATTATGCAATGCGGGTCACAACAGGTCGATCTAGGGGGGAAGCATGGTGTAACGCTAGTGGAATGCAGGCAGGTTGAATTCAGTGATGACAATGGGGCGAAGCGGGACGACTACCTCAATATCCATGCTTGCTCCGCACCAAGCTAGAGTCGGGACAAATAATATCCGTGCGGGTACGGAATGGGGTGAGTCAACCAACTATTATATGTTATTTGAAAAAATGTGCATGCAAAATTTTACTCTATTAAACGAAGAGAAAACATTTTATGAATGAAAAATAGTGGTAAAAGAATGAGTAATGGAATCTAACTAGTTGAAAGATAAAGTCTAATTAGTTGAAGGAAAATAAAAATAAGAAAATATGAATAGATATTGTAAAAAAATTGAGATAAAATAGGCCAAGAGCAAGGCATGGCAGACCGAAAGTAGATACACATGTCGCGTCATACGATACCATTGGTCGGGTAATACCCGCCTCAACACGGGCCAACTCGGGTAATACACGGTGAGACTTGTTCAAATTGTAATCTCTAGTTGAACCTAGTTTAACAGGTGTCAGTTATGAAATGGATACGAATATCACTAGTATAACCAATACGATTGATTTTCCGCCTATAGATAAAATGACATCGTTTCAGTGAATTTAATTAACAAAAAATTAAATTTTAATTTATTTTATGAATTTAAAAATTAAATGTTGATGTTATTTGTTGAATTCAAGTATAAAATTTTGTGTTTGATGTTAAATATTATATTTGGAATTTTGTATAAAATTTATATATAATTATAAACGGTAAATAATTTTTTTTAATATGTTTAAATTAATTTGTTGTCAATGATTTTCATTTTTTCATATTTATTAAACTGGTATGAATAGGCACAATGGGATTTATAACTCTAATCATACCATACTACTTGCTAAATTGGCACAATGATATAAACTACATATAAAAACACAACATTTCCACAATGGCCAAGTATAATCACTGCGGAAGACTATAGTAAAGTGGATTCGGTTTAAATTAACCTTGTCCTAGGTGTACTAGCTACTCCGTGAAATCCTATAATCTAGCGGTGAAATTCGAGTGAAGTTGATTTTAAACTAAGGCAAGAAGAAAGCAGTTAATTCAGGTTGCAATCCCCAAGTTCATTTCAATTGTCAACCCGGGTCCTAGATGTCACCCGGATATGTGTCCCCCTAGTCTGCAGTTAATTCATGTTGCAATCCCCAAGTTCATTTCAATTGACAAATATACTGCGAATAGTTCTTGACAAGTCTGGAGTCTTGATTAAAGAATTTCAGACCCTCTCCGGTCGAATACTCGGCGGGCTACTAGCCTCTTTCGGAATAAGCTAACCGAGGCATTATCGCACACGACTTTCTCTATTGGGTTTCAATTCCAGTACAGAGCAGTGAATCGACTTATAGACTAAAGTAATCAGTTCACTAATTCTAATTAAGGTTGCTCTTTTAACCTAAACAGATATTATCGTTCTAGGTTAAAGCAGTAATCACAATAATTTGATCAGGACTCATGCAATTATGAATAATGCCTTAATTGAATATATGATAGTTAATCATCCACGAAAATGAGTTCATACATTCATTCCTAACATAGACGACTAGGGTTCTTCATACCTAGATGAGAAGAGAGTTTACTCCATGGAGAGTAGAGAAAACACAAAGTTTGAAGTGGAAAACATCATGTGAACGATGGAATTCTTCTCCAGGATATGAATCGGCACTCCGAGCGTAAGGGATTGAGTTCCAATGACTTTAGGCGACTCCAATCACCTCCCAAAGTTATTCTTCGTCACTTTCTCTATATAGGGCTCTCTCTTATTGTTTCAGAACTTGGAAAACCCTCGATCCTTAATCAACAACCCGAAATTCGCTTTTAAACCAACTCAGTACAGATTCCCCAACTATATTTTTTGGGTGGGTAATTCTCCCCTAATCAACGGGATTTTCTGAAATGCAGAGCATGATTTAAGTGACCTGCTCGAGTTACCCAGTCTGGTCACCAAAATACTCGACCGGGGATTTACATCAACACCGGGGGGATTACCTCCTATAATTATCCTCGGGCTCCTATTCAAAATACCTTCCCAGGATATCACAACCACATCCCGGGTAGTCTGCTTGATGATGCTGACTTTCGCCCATAGTCTCCAGCTTGTCCCGAAATTCTATCCTAAGCTTCCTTTTATATACTAGGACCTAAAATATCATATATAAACACAACTTAACGTAAAATAGGCTAATGAACATACAAATCCAAGCCAAAAAGATTAATACATGAAAGGAAAAACATGTACGAATGTAGTGTTATAAAAAAACCAGTTGGACAACCCTAAGAAAAAAAAAGATAGTTGGTTTAGATTTCGGAAATGAATTTGTTCATCTTTAATAATTACAATATTTTATTTTAACACGGAATATCAACTAATCTATAGGTTGTAATACAAATTTCTATCATGTATGTATGTGTAGTATTATAAAATCATATTTGGACGGTTGATATTAAATAAACCGATCACTGTTCACTGATATGATCTAATGATTGTCTTTGCAAAGGGATAAGTAGGGAAGATAAGAATTTTTGAACATCTTGCACGAATATCTAGGCAACATTACTGCACTTTCAATTTGTTTACGAATCTTTAACAGTGAATAGCTCATTTGTTTTACTCGGATTTTGGAAGAATTTAGGTAAAAACTAATTTTTGGTTCTTTGAGATGATATAAATTTTAATATTTTTTAAGTAAAAAATGTCACGATAGTCGTATGATGTTGTTGTCTTTCTTACTATAGTGATAATCAGATTTTTGTGTTATATTAGGTGATATGAATTTATAGTCATATAATCATATTATCACTATGATAATATGATATTGTATGATGGTGTTATCCTTCTTACCATACTGGTAAGATCATGGTATAGTGGTAGTGAGATGAAATTATGAAGTCTTATCATAGTGATGTATATTGGTATGACTGTAATAAGGTAGTACGAAGTCTTATTTTTTAGCAAAAGATTTTGAAGTCATTATACTGCTGTCGTATCGTGATATTATATATTTTTAATCTTACCATAGTGGGAAAATTATTATATGATAGTGATAAAATTATAACAAACACGTGTTTAGAAGGAATAATTTATTTTTTGGTCAAAATATCACAAATTGGATATCATTATGTTTGCAATATCTAATCCATTCTTTCTAT